GAATACCTATCGCAATTCCGAAACCAGCAATACCACAATCGTCAGATATCGAACCACCTGATACAGTAAAGCGTAATGATGAAGCTTTGTAGGAACATGCGATGATGACTGATCTGGTCCCTTGTATGCGTGTTTCGGAGATACAATATACGTGTAAATTGCAAGTTTCAAGCATGTCGGCCGACCGGATGGAGTGTGCGAAAATGGAATGCTACTAAGGGAAAAGGAGATTTTATATTCTGCAATCCTATAGGTTTTAATTTGTTGACCTTACTAGGTAAATGTTGGGTGGATGGGTGGCGCGTTACTTAGAAGTGAGAAGAACTTGACAGATTAGGAAGTTTTTTCCAACTGGGTGCTTGAGACTTTGGGGCACGACATACTTTACGGTAGCCTACATCGAAGAACCTTGACTGTAGCCTTGAACCAAACCTGACCCACAAGGCAACGCGAGAGCGTGATTGAAGCACTTTTGTGGAAGCTTCGAGAGACCTATCACGTAAGGTCTTCGTTTTTCGGTTCCAGGCCATCATACTGAAACTGTATCATTATGCGATGACCTGTACACCTTTGTGGCCGGAGAGCGTAGCATACCAGCCAATGAGGTCATTGGCGATAAACGTAAGCAGAATATCCGCAATAAAAAACGACTTGATCGCTGGGTGGAGTATTTTGGCGGATAGAAGTGGCGTTGAACGTAAATCCCCAGTGGATTCACTGCTTCTCAAAGGAATGCCGACGAAGTATGTAAACGTATTGCGATCTCTGTACTCTCATGCTTCGGGTAGCGTGAGTGTCCAGGTGGACCAAAAAATCGAAACCAGGAGCAGTGTTCGTCAAGGATGCCTTATTTCACCATTCCTATTGAGTTTTCTCGTAGACAAACTGAAGTACGCACTAACTGGTTTCCAAAATGTTGATATTGAATGGACGGCTGGAGAAAAACTGTGCGATCTATAGTGGGCTGACGACATTGTTCGAGTGTATAGAGGATGCACATTGCACTCTTGGTAGACTTTCGAATTCTGTAACTTGGTATGATTCTTAGTAGTAAAGTACTTAAAGTTCTATTTGGCAACGAGCTATGGGCGAGTGGCAGTCAAGTTGGGATGGTAGTTTTGTCATGATGGATAGACTGTGTCGATAAGTGAGTATTTTCATTATGATCTATGTAGATGATGTCACAGAAACCTGTAGTGCTGGAGGAGTTCTTTGTGAAACAATTCTGCCTTGATGTGTCTAACTGTTGCGAGTAAACTAATATCTATCGCCGACAAATTCCAGCTGTTGATTTTCTGTTCGTATTTGTTCTGATGCTTACTTTTAGGTCGATAACCCAGTATGTATTGCCTTACACGGGCATCCATTTTCACACTTACATGTACGTGTAGTAGTGTCTAAGTGAACACTTGGGCTTTGTGTACTTCATTTTGACCGGTTTTTGTACAAGTTGAGAGCTCGTTCTATAAAGTTCCTGATATCACGTTTTGTTCAAGTTGAGATGTCACCACCGAGCTGTTCTACTTGATTGTTTCGAATAACTGACTCACTGTCATGGATGCTATCATTCGTAAACCGGAATAGGAATGTTTGTTTTCCAAACATTAAATAAATTTTTTAAAATTTCATTACAAGTGCTGGTAGATATCGGGGTTTCAGTTGTATAGATTTCTGTTGGATGGTAGTTCACTATTCCTCCGTAGGAGGACACCAGACAATCGGTTTAGGTGTTATAATAACTGAATTCGTTGGAGCCGATTAGCGTCCAGTGCAGAACAAGAAGCCAAGATTACCGCACCATCAAATAGAATAGTGTTTTTACGTGATGAGGAATTGGAGGGTAAGGCCCCACAACAAATTGCTGGTTTCAAGAATGGGTAAACAAAGTGAAGTAGCAAACGCGTTTGAAAGTTCCCGGAATGGAGTTGTTTCAGGTTTAAATTAACGGACGCTGCGATGGCGATGAAAAACACCTGGAAAATAAGAGAAGTAAGATAATCTAATCGGAAGACCCTAAAGTGACAGTCCGGTGGTTAATGAGGAGAAGGAAAAGCCTTAGTGAGATTAAGAAATTGTAGAACTTTGTGGTCAGCCTTCAAGTTCCCTTTCACTTAAAACAATCAATGTAAGTGATCAGGTTCACTGGCAGTCGTCGCTTTGGTTTATGTTACAGTTCTCCATGGTTGTTCGGAGCTGATCAGTAGTCAGTTTTCACTCACTAACGTACGTCAGTCTTTTAGGCAGGGTTTCAAATCCTGCCACTTCACTATTTCACTAGCTAAGGTCCAAGAGGGTCTTTTGTATTCAAGCCATAGGGTGAGGTGTAATAAAGTATATTTGATGTGAAAGTTCCCTATCCATAATTTTATATACCTATTTATATTGAATACTTACACTAAGTCGGCTGCCTCTCCGTTATTCATTATCCATTAGATTTCAGTGACGAGGTGGGTCTCGAAATGGTGCCAAAGACTGTCCTATCCAATGAACCAGCGACTTACATGATTGAATTCAAGTGGAAATCCACGCCGTTCGAGAGGATGATAAGAGCAATAAAAGAAGTCACTGATGAAAGTCGTGACTTACTTCCACCATATATTTTGAATCGCTTGTTGGGTGTTGAGATGGACGACATGGTACTCAAATGCAATTTGCCAAAACGATATTCCGCTCCGGACCTCCCAGAACTTAATCACAGTCAAGTTTTTGCCGTGAAGACAGTGCTGCAACGTCCGCTTAGTTTGATCCAAGGTCCGCCCGGGACAGGAAAAACAGTTACATCAGCCTCAATCGTATATCATTTAAATCAAATTCATCAGAAAAAGGTTCTGGTTGTTGCACCTAGTAATACTGCCGTTGATCAATTGTGCGAAAAAATCAGTCGAACCGGACTCAAAGTTGTGCGCTTATGCGCACGATCTAGAGAGGCACTTGCATCGCCTGTTAGCCACCTTATGCTTCATATTCAAGCTCAACATGTAAAAGGACATACGGAGTTACGAAAGCTTCAGCAACTCAAAGATGAAACCGGGGAACTAACGGAAGATGATGAATACCGATACCGCATTCTCAAGCGTGAACTGGAACGTGAGTTTCACTGTTGACATTTTGCTAATTTTTCCTTGATATATGCATTCTTGCATGTAGTCTATTTCACTTTCGCTGGTTTGTTTTGCAGGTGATCTGCTCCTGGCTGCGGATGTTATCTGCTGTACTTGTGTGACTGCAGGTGATGCACGCCTCAAACCACTCAGCTTTCATTCCGTTTTGATTGACGAGTCCACTCAGGCTATGGAACCTGAATGTCTCATTCCTCTTAATGTCGGATGCCGTCAAGTTGTGTTAGTCGGTGACCATTGTCAGCTCGGACCGGTTATCACTTGCAAAAAAGCAGCCAATGCGGGCCTTACTCAAAGTTTATTCGAGCGCTTTGTTTTGCTTGGTATTCGTCCTATTCGTTTACAGGTTAGTTGTGTTTGATTTCCTTTCTCATTACATGAGGAGCATGGTCTCCAGTAACGCGCTAGGTCATCATAGTCGTAGAGTCTACTGGACATTGGTGCTTTAGAACATTCATCCAAAACGAAATCGGTTGGATACAAATGGAGCCTTCCATGCGCTTGTGACCGGTTTTCTTTATAGATTAAAGTAAATGCGGGACCAAATTGACAAGCTCTGGATGTTAGGGCCAGATAAGTGTCTAAGAAAAGGACTAAACTGTCAAAAGGTTCCAAATGAGAGGAGACCTCAAACGAAACAACATTCCCAGTGGGACATATTTGAGCTTTGCAAACAGTGATATGTTGAAAATTGAAGGGCAGAGGGAGGAATCCGGTACGCACGGAAGGTAAAAATGTTCGTGGACACGCCATTGTGAACTACAATACGGGATCAAGATTCAAAAATATATTGGGGGCCACGTGAAGCCGAGGGAAATATGAGATGAAGTATCTAAATTAAGATTGTAAGCACTATTTGCAACGAAATGTTTGGCAGCGATCAGTAAAGTTCGCTTCAGTGTTTCACGCTGTACGATGAATATATATATATTCTGCGGAACACCCATCGTGGATGCCCGGCCATCTACATCCTTCGTGCGAGGAGTCAACCGGGTTGTTAAGTGACGGAAAAAATACCTGTCTGAGTCCCGCTGGTCGTCACATTGAGAACCCCACTCAACAAATAATACCTAGCTACTGGGTATGCAAAGCAATGACCATTCCTAATTATCAGCGCAAATGGCTTGTCATTTCAACAAACAAGTTTCATGAGCGACAATCGATATCTTTCTCTGCCTAAGAGGCGGTATTTTATCAGTTATTAGTTGAACTGCAGTGTGCACATATACAGATGCAGCAAAGTGATCCGCAATGCACTGAGATCTGTTATTGGCCTCTCTGTTCTTATCTGATATTGCGATTGCTCCCATAACCTTTCTGCCTTACTGCTCTCAATAACTAGCAATTTCATCGATTTTTGTCATCCGGGAATATAAACCGATTATCTGTCTTTCAGTATGCGTTCGAAGTATGGATGATGAATGAAAAGTGATAGCGGTAACTGAACACTAAGTAATATGTACTTTGTACAGTTTTCAGCGTTGCCTCATTTCGGTCTAAATGTAATCGTTTTTTAAGTATGAA